TTTTTACCACCCATGTCCGGCTACTTTGCTGTCATTCCTGTGAGCAACACCTCATGGGTTGAGAAGGAGTCAGTTTAACATCTATGCACCCTTTCTAACTCCCATTTCATCCGGACACTTACCAAGGCAAGTTGTAGACCTTGATCTACTTTTGGTCCCTTTAAACAAATATTAAATCAAAGTAGTCTTACTTACAGGTTCAGAGAATTATATAGGATGAGGTGAGCGCCGCTAAAAACTCCTGAAGATAGATTCTTCAATTGATTGTTGGACAAGTCCCTATAATCAACAATTACAACAACAAAGTGTAAGCTATTTTACATAGAATAATTTTCTGCATAATGAATAAAGTATTTGAATAAATTTTGATATGATTTGACTGGTTAGGGCTATTTTTATATCATGGAATATATCTTCATTGACTCCAAAAGTTAAATTGGCTTTAACCATACTTAAGCTGTTTACTGACGCAAACTTATCCTGGCGCTGAATAAATAGAGAATAATACACGGGCGCGCGTAGATATGGAATTTCTCTTCGAGTGTTTCACTCGATAGCTCGCGAGAGAGCGCAGCGAACGAGTAAGATGTTGAGTTGAACACGAGAAGAGAAATTCCATTTCTACAAGCAACCATGTATTATTTTGTTTTTCATATAAACACAATAACCCTTTACTGAGAAGAAAAGCTGACTTCATTAATGAATGAAAATAAATGAATCGACAGTCCCCGAACAACCATCGCAGAGTGCGTTGGCGCTAACCCTTAAGATAGAAAAATGCGTTGAATCATGATTACAAAAACAACAATGGTCGTAATTTTCAATTCACAAAATTCTCATTTATTGACTCTGTTCTTACCGACAGAAGAAGTCTTTCAAGTAAACGGCCTAAACCGGCCCGTGGCAAATCTTCCAGTTTTCGATTTTCATTCGGCCGAGAGAAATGCCGAGAGAAATGCCAACACCAAAGCCACTGAATACGTAACTTTCGACTTTTCTTGCCCTTTTAGGAAAGTTTGAACCTCACTTTCTATCAGCGATACGGATTTTTTTTGTGTTTAGTCGTCAGAATTCGTGAAAGCTTCGACAAACAACTTGTATTGAGAATCGTGAAGCCTTTGCTGTTCATTCATCAACTTGACCAAGCGGCGCCAAAGGCGAGTGACGTTGCAGCAGCTGATTGGCTATATCAAGACACGTGAAAAAATACGATGTTTTTTTCACGCGTGTTGGTACGGCTCTTCTCAGGGCCGGGTATCTTACTCGTGAGCTATCGAGTTAAACACTCGAAGAGAAATTCATTTCTACGCGCGCCCATCTATTATTCTCTGTTTAATAAAAACCTGTTTAACCGGTCGGCTGCACGCGCTACGCTTCTCTTTTCACTTTGCTTTTTTCCGCCTTATGAAAAATTATCAGAAACACACAAAAAAAGCAGTTGGACAGTAAATAACTTATTAGAAGTTTTGGTGTGTAGTATTGCTTAATGGACTTTGTTATAAAATCTAAGGCTGTACAAAAAAGTACTCTATTTAAATGTAGCTTAATTCTGGTTCATCGATTTGAAGTGTCCCTTAAGCAATATTGGTTGTAACGGAAACGTAGTAAATGATTATGTAGTTTGACTTTCACGAGATGAGAGCGAAGCTCGTTCATGCTCATTGCTTTTTCTTGATTTTTAAAAAAGAATTTATTTGAAAACGCCGCGTTCAGACTATCGAATGTCTACCGCTGAATGGTAAAGAGGAGTTTTCTAGCCTCCCATCAAATAATCATCGATCGATTATCGATCCTTGACCATCGGATCTAACCTTGATAGGGAACTTTTACTTTTGATTTTTAGCTTTCTATTCTTTATGGCTTTGACTTAATTCTCGAAAGTTGTCTGTGGTTATTCTTTAAAAATAAACTTTTCATTTTTCGTAGTTCAGCTCCTGTGGGGGTGAATGTTTTCTACTTGTTCTCTATGAAAGTTCCTCTCATATAATTTATCCATCTGACCGTCCTTTTCCAGTCGGAGGACCTTGACACGCCGTCCATGTGGCTAAACTTCTTCTTGACTGTAGTCGTGCGCACAATAAGCCTGACTTTAGGATCTTATATCTGAATATTGTAATCTCTTTTCCAGTGACAGACCCCGTCTTAGTCATACCTGTTTTCAGTCTGAAGCCAGCCAAGGTAAACTTGTCTGGATAAAATTCTTGAATGCACTTCCTCTGAATATAGGGAGTGCAAATACAATCGAAATCGCAGTTTTTTAGATGGGCATTTTTAATCAGAGCGTTTCATTTCTGTTAATTATGATGTAGTCTTTGTGGTAACCTTTCATTCATATTCCCTTCAATTCATAGCTTCAGTTGATTGTAATAATTTAACTCTTGCGATGCGCATTTGAAAATTTCATGGAATTTGCGCATCTAGATTTATTACTATTATTATTATTATTGTGGTCATCATCGTTAAAATGCCCTAGTCTCATCAATGTTAAGGTGTAGCTTTGTTAATTAGATATTCCAGGAGTGAGTGTTGCCTCGCTCACTGGTATGAATGCTATCCACTAAAGGAGGAGCAATACTCCGAGACACGCTTCCTTCTATCTTCGAATCGAGTAGTGGTACAAGGCAAAGACGATTATTGACTTTTTTTCTTGAAACAATGTCAAATCCGCTGCACTGAATAGACTGTGTTTCTTACGTATAAATTCCACTTGCTACCGAGCGCCTTAGAGTGTCCTTCCAATCCAGGAAGGAACGTTTTGGGTAGAAAAACTTACATACCATTTAATCCAGTGCGACGGTACCACAGCTCAACTAATCAACGCAACTAAAGAAGTTTCTTGTGTTTACAATCAAGCCGTACTTTCGCAGTACAGGAAAGGGGTTTAAAGGGCCAGAGCAGGAGAAACTTCGACACCGTAAACAATGCACAAAGAAGAAAACATTTTCTCTATCTATTTCTGTTAAGAGAACCAAGCCAAAATAAAAGATGGGGAAATATTCAAAAGATACCCTTCAAACATGCCGATCACGAACTAGAGTTGAGCTATCGATGTAACAATGGCTGACACTGTAAACAGATGGTTTCGTGCTTCTTTTTAAAATTTATATATCACAACAGCTGATTCGGACAGTTTTTCTATTTTACAATTTCCAAGCTCCACTAGAGACATGTTCTGTCGATTGGAATCGTTAGTACGCGGCATTTCGCAAAAACTTTCAATCGGTTTGAAATAAACCTTGATACAACGTGTTGATTGATTCACGTATTTTTCATAAAAAACAAGTGCTCGAAGCGACCGAAAATTAGTTACGATGGCTCTTACTCAAATGCAACCTCGTGTTAAAGAATAATGTTGAGACAGTCCGTAGTAATTTATATGAATTATAATCCAGATTAAAAGGTATATCTGCATGGTGCATGACAAAGTATATAATTGAAAAAACTCTCGGTACGATTTAAATAATGTGCAACCATTTTTAACATTATCGGATATATCTAACTAAAATTTAACTTGGCCTTACTAATATTCCATTATTCTAAGACCGAATAGCATTGTTTATTCAGTATTTTCTGAGGTTGATACTATCTGCACATCCGAGTAGAGGTAATGATTTCAAAACCATAAGACATAAACAGATTGTTAAAATAAACTTTATGTGCTATCCTCTGACCCCTGTATGGTCCAACATTCAAACATCTGAACTTGTTCACCGATTTGAAATGTATCATGAGGATTAACGTCGCTCGCGATCACAATAGATTCATTGGTTATTAAGCTTCATTTATTAAATTGAATTGAACCCGCTTATTGATGAACTTGACGAGATATTTGAAATTATATTAAAAATATCAGTGTATTCTTTCAACCCCTCTGGACACAAATTTCAACAGTTACTTCAAAAAACCCTCAGGTTAAAAGTTTTCTACTGATTAAAAAGTAACGATACGGCGGAAAACTATTACGTTACCGTTAGCTGCAATACAAACTTTGCGAAACAAGAGGCTTTGTGTGGTCTTATTAAGCAGTTATAGACGGTTAGAAAGCGGTGGCTCGAGCTATTGGATGTTTGGCTCCATAGTTAACCAAATTCAATTTCAATTTATTGATTTCCGATTTTTTGTTTTGCTTTCCATTAACGTTGATTTGCAGTATAGGAGTCTTTAGTTACTTACAGCGTCAACAGCCCCCAGTAGGAAACTTTAAAGCCAGCGAACACTCCTCGCGTTAAATGCTGTAACTGGTTGTTGGACAAGTTCCTGAAATAAATAGGTCATTTTAACGAAATGTGAACTCTGCTGTCTGCGACGTGTGTTTTCCTACATCTTAAAAGCATCCGATGCTTTTTCAAAATAATAAAAACGCTTTTATTTACCTCACATTAGTGGATAATTAAATCAAGTTACTCCACCCTTGAGAGATTCTGGTGCAAAATAACATCGTTCAATTAATCTGTCAACATTTCAAGACAAACCATCTGGTTTTCTAAGCAGTGGTACAAATTTTAAAAGATGGCGAAAACTTTGATCAGATTAATTGCTTGTCGATAATTAAAACTCGCATATTAAAAGAAATGGAGGACTCATTTTAAATCACCTGTTGTTATATTCCTTTTATCTCGCTGGTGATAAAACCGAATAGTTTATTGAAACGCCAAGTGACCAGAGAGAATCTTGATATTACCACATGAATGTAGTGCGAAATTCTTTCAGAACTCTCAGCAAAGATTTATCAACACACTGAATATTAACCGAATTTTCATTTGAGCCACGAGCACTAATTTTCTATTGAGTGACATCCATTCAAGAATAGCGGTTGTACTGGGCATTTTTAGAAGTTGCCAATCTTAAAAAATATCGTATTATTATTAATTTTTTTTTTGACACGATGTTTAGATTCCAACTCAGTCTGATGTGAAAGCCCATATCATGTCTCTATACATCGGCACGCGGTGAAAAAATCATTAACGAATGTTCGTAAGCTAAAGAAACGTCCTCCTTACAGATGTTCCAGCCTTGTATTGTTACTAAAAGCCCCTGCTGGCAACTTCTGCAACTTGTTTTTGGACAGGTCCCTTGAAAACATTTACAAATAAATTACCTATTTATAAAGGGAGCAAGCTTCTAAAGAAACTGTGGTGCTGCGTCGGTGGAAGAGTATAACAGTAATACTAAAGTCTAATACAGTGTCCCCCAGCTTTAGCTTTCCGTGTCTATCACTCAAAAACGAGTGTGGTGAACCTAAGATTTGATTATTCAGCACCTGACTTTTTTTCTTTTAATAAGAGATTTATCAGCTGTTGTCTTCAACCGGTTTTATTCAAGCATTCATCAATTGTTTTGTATGAGCTGTATTCGACCAGCCATTAACAATTTAGAAGCAGATATCTTCAAGCGGAGTTCAGTGAAGTTGCTGTTGTGACAGCTGCATGTCTTCAAGAGTTCATCAGCAGTGCCATGTAGATGTCCTAGAGCGATCATTAGCGGTGTTGTATCGAATATCCTCAAGCGTTAGCAGTGTTACTGTAGCGGTTGTGTTGAGGCGTTCATCAGCAGTTTGGTAATGAATGCCTTCAAGCTTTCGTTAGTGGTGTTGTAACGGTTGTATTTAAGGGTTCATCAGCAGTGACGCAGCGATTGAATCGTAGAATGGCGTCTCATGGCCACATATGGGTTGTAGGGATTTGCAAAACATGGGTGGAAATGTATATACTTATATATACAAGGGCTGGTTGATCACAATGGAATGAACACCCTAGGCATCCACACTGTATTCAAATGAGGCAGCTGCTAAAGCTCTGATAATCTTCCACTCCGTTTTTCATGGCACAGTGATGGCCTTCGTATTGAGATTTACTACCTGGCTCTTGTCAATAAGCTGATATGCTCCTCATGCAGAGCACTTTGTATTAAGCTGATCTAAGATCAACGATTCTCTGTTCAATTCGAGTATTTTATACTGCAAGGGTAAGTGTTCTTTGATTACGATATAAAATAATGAACTTAAAAAATTTACTGGTCTAAATTTTCAGCTGACCTCAATATCGTTTTCTTTTACTTATCTAGCCGTGTAACTCTCCAAGCTGCTTTACTTAAGTCATCAAGTTTTTTCTACCTTAGAAACCTTAAAGTCTTAAAAAGCCAGAAGAGAGCCTCAAAGATATAGTCATGATTTTTATCAAATTTGTCATGGATGATCTATTTGTCATATGAGGGTCATTTCGTCAGTCAGTGTTTATGTTCTACACTCGATCTATTCGGAGCAAAAGAATAAATACTCTGATATTGATTGTCCGACATAGATATCTTATCAAAGTTTACTCATCACTCAGAAATTACATATCCCTTGGAGGTTATCTCTGGAAATAGTTCGTTTATATCCAGGAAAAATGTTCACTTTTGGCCTCCTACTTTTGGACCACAATGCCCTTAAAAAATTTTAAGTCTAAGCATTAACTTTTTGCACAGCTCCAAATAAAATCATACCCCGGGCGCTCATGGAATACCAATTTCGTTACTAGATTCAACGGGTTTGCTTTGCCGAGCTGTAGTTGCTTTTGTTGTTGTTTTTGTTTTCCTTGCACCTGCAGGTGGGTGTAAATAAGCACACTTGTAAATTTTCCAGACCACATATTACACTCGCCCTACGGGCTCGTGAAATTTTGTTGTCTTTGAAAATTTATTAGTGTTTAGCAACACCAAATTGCACTCGAAATCATGTCGTTACTTATACTTATATGATGTATTAAGAACTTACAGTTTGCCTGTAGTTTGAGGAATTTTCTCTGGAATTGACATAAGCTGTTTCGTTCCACAGTCGACCGATACTAAGCTCCTCATGTTACCTTTAAGGACTTTGCATTGGCACTGTTGAGGGCACTCTGACAAACAAAAACAGGCTTCCGTTAAAAAATAATATTTCAATCATATCCGTTTTCAATCGTTACCTTGTATTCAAAGATATTATCAACTGGATGGACGTGGAGACCTCGACCAAGGACGATTTCGAAAGCGAGCTCTATTTAATCGAAGTCTTTGTCTTCTACGTCTAAAAGCTGATACTAGCCGCATTGCAGCCTGCCTGCTGATAATGTACCAGCAATATAAAAAACGCAACGTTGTTTGCTGAGAAAGAAATGCAAAATTCCACAAAAACCCGAAAGCTGCGAATCATTCGATGACGATCCATTCTTGCCCGGTAATTCGAGCGAGATTTTTTTTCTTTATCTCTTAGTAGAAGGAGATGGGTTTGTGATTGACGTATGAGTCAATCAAAGAAGGTTTGGTCAGAGAATACCAGTTTGATGCTACCGCCGCCAAAAATTAGAAATGCAAAATTTGTGCCAATTTTTTTAATCTCGAAAAATTGGCAAATATTTGAATTCGCTTCAGTGCGACCCGGCCCTTTAATTTTTCAATTTCAAATAGATCCCCAAATAGACCGACCCACTAATCCTCTAGTTCCTCAGCTATACTGACCGAAAAACGGCTCTCACTTTTCTAAACATTGATTTTATTGCGTACACTGCCTCTTGCCTGGTCGAAGTAATGGAAAATGCCTTCAGGTTAGCAATGGGTAACTTCAAGTAACCACTTTTTAAATAAAAATTGACAACAGAAGTTTGCATCACTTTCTGGTCGCTACATTCGAGCTCAGGGGAAAACCCGCACTGACGTCACCTTGCCACTTTTGCTAGTTGTTTATTTATCAATTCTGAACGATTTTGCGATTATTCAATAGTTTGAACAGCACAGTTTTTAATGGCATCACAGCAAAAATCGTCAAATGCGGATCGACCGCAGACGGTATTATTTTCAACACGCTTTGTCACATGAGAAAGGGAAAATCAGTTCGCCATTTTCAATGTTATTTGGATTAGTTTCACAGCTTGATAAACGGATGAAAAAATATTTATATACAACAATTCAATTTTTAAAATTTTTTAAACTTACATAAATCAATTAATAATGGTCATAAAACGATGAAAACCAAACAATAACAAAATTATGAGGAATAGATAACTTGAAACCTACTTTAGTTTTCTCTCTAACGTGGAGAAAGATCAAGGCATTATATATTTCTTTGACAAAGCCGCACTATGGAGTTCTTCCTAATTGGTCTATTAATCCCCCAAATAATAATAACATGATTGCAAATCTGACTTCCAGTACAATTTCAAACACGAGGCCATTTCTGTTCCTTCTATGGCTGCTAAGTTAGATACAACGACTGTTACAACTTCTTCTTCTCAAGACTTCCTTCACAAAAATTGGTAAGAAAAACACTGCACCAGAAAGCATTAAAAAAATAATCTGTTTAGAGCATGGCGGGCGTAATCTATTTGTGACTAGATGGTACCTTACACAAGAAAATCAACGTTGTTTGTTGAAAGCCAAAACAGTGGCTACAAAACAGACGTAATTCTTGTAAACTAGTTGTCTCGTTGTCATGGTGCATTGAACAAACGCCGCTCTCTTAGATGCAGCGCTTTTCAATATCCTTGCTCTTACACGTCGCGCTTATTCTTGGGCAGTGCCTAATCGAGTCAATAATTTTTAAAAAGCAAAAAAACTAACCTTTTCGATAATTTGAGAAAAGAAACTTAGGGTGTTAAGCTCTGGAAAGATCAAGATCACACATATCACGGTGCATCAAAGGAACGGAGCTTTAGTTCATCAGACCAGTTACCATGACAGCAGGCGCGAAATTGTAGAGCGCGTCAGCGGAATCGCGCGCTAAATTTAGAAACAAAAACAAGATGGCCGTCGCGGATAGAGCAGCTGTTAGAGGAACTTACCGATGATTCAATACTACAAGAGGCGAGAAGTTGTGAAGATGAAGAATTTTTATTGTTTCTTTTGATAAGGGAGAGGCAGCGCTATCTCCGCACTGAGGATTATTTCGAACGTATTAAACCACCCTACATTGTTTTAGATTTTTTAAGTCATTTTCGGATGTCAAGAACTGCAGTCAGCTGTTTGGAACGTCTGTTTGCTACTTGCCTAAGTCTGCCTCATGGACAAAGGAATGGGGGGAGACCAAGCATTGACTTACTGAACCAAGTATTGATTACGATATGGATACTTGGGAACCCTAAATGCCTGCGATCAGTGGCCGATGGATTTAACATTAGAAAATCGATTTTACTTCGTGTTTATCGCAGAATTTGTGGAACGATTGCCAACAATTTTTCCGTTCAAGATATGAAGTACCTACTTGTTTAAAACTGAGCACCGCTGGGCAAAATGATTAATTTCGGATCCTTCGCCCAAAGGAACGCGTTGGGTCAATGATCGAATGATCCGTCTTTAGATCACATAGATCACTGATCCAATGAATCCTTGTCCAGAGTGGATTTGATAGATCACTGATCTGAAAATGGATTTGCTTGAATGGAACGCCACAAATCAGATATCCAGATCCGGATTCTCCCAATGGAACGCACCCTTAATTATTTTGTGTTTTATATCATAAATGTGACTTTTCAGGTTACCCTTGAATAAAATTGTCGAAGGTTTCATTCTAAAACCAAATATCCTTAAATTGACTCAAGACAAAGAGTAAGGTTTACCAAAAGCATACACAACAACTGAGCCCCCTTGAAGTAAAGATGTAACTTGAGACTTACTCTCGACAACAAGACTGATGTTTTTCCTCTTCAACCGGCCATGGTCGTCCACTTCGCAGCTGTAAGTTGTATTTCTCTCTTCTTCAGTGACGTTGATTTGAAGTCGCACACTAGTGCTGTTTTGCAAAACAGCGCCATTCTTTCTCCAAACAATGCGAGGAGCTGGTCCACCTTCCGCCGGGCACCACAAAGATGACGAATGGTCGAGCAGAACAAACTGTGTCTTTGCGACGTTTCTCAGGTTGGTGGGAACTAAGCACAAACATAATAAGACATTTCATCCACAATAAATTATACCGCTAAGAAAATCAAATCACTTAAACCTAAGAATACCTACCTCTTGCACTTAGTGCTTTTCCCTCATAATATCTGTGCAATAGCTGGTGTCTACGGGTAGGTGAAAATCTTAACCACATGTTCTGTCCACTGGAACGTATTTTAAAGCGAGGAACGTATCTTCCACAAAATACACCCAAAAGATTTCCAGACTGATTATACCCATCACGGATCTCAAGATATTCCTCATCAGCACAAGGTACTTCAGGTGAATTATAGTCCATCTTTAGCTCCAATTCTACTTCCACATATTGCCCTTTTTCTACTTGAAGACGGTGGGTTGTATCAAAGCTTGGGAAATATCGGGAGTATACCTCCGCGATTATTGCAACTGAAACAAAGAAAATAATTTCACAGAAGAATAAGTATACATACTTTGCACAATTAGTTCATTAATGACTGTCTATCTCGATAAACGAGAGTATAAACTCATGACAAACTTTGAGATTAACCTTAAAGGAAAATTTTCCCTGTACTTTTCTGTTACACCTGAAATATGAGAATTATTCATACTTCATAAATCAGTGAGCATGTCAAACTCCTATGCCAGTAATTAACAACTGATTCATACTGTGCCACAAGAGTCAAATGTCCCTATGTGGTCTATGTGGTAAGCATGGATTTCACACAAAATCTTCACGCAAATAACGATGTTCTTGTCAAGAACTGTTACGAATGGCCCTTGGTTAGGCTTGGATAGCTTCCGTTCGCATAATAGTTTAAACTGCCAGACTGCAATGCTCATCAGTAAAACTGCATAGTTTGCTCGAAATCTTGAAGACTCTTAAATTACGCTCTTAATTACCCTCGGTGGCCGGAAAAAAATCGTTCCTTTGGATTGTACGTATTTTTACAAATATGGATGGTAGCCTTGGCCTAAAATGTAACATTATTTATGACTAATTTATGGAGCATATAAATCCCTCAAACTTAGCAAAATATTATTTCTTTGCTCAGTCGTAATATTCAAAATGGAGGAGCTGCTAAAAGACATCAAGACCGTAAAAAAAAAACAGAAATTATCAAGGTATACAATAAAAGACTTGTACGTAGAGCCAATGAATTTCACTGAACTTTCCTACAAATATTCTGCGTATAAATTATGTTACTGATGTCCCTTAGTTTTGCCCATATTTTTAGGTGGACTTGCCGAAAAAATACTCGCCTCGAACATTGCTTATTCCTTACAATTCTGTCGATAGAATTGATCCAAGCATACCCTCGGCAAATCAGAATAATCTCTGCGTTAAAACTTTTCTCATAACCAAAACTACTCTGGATTTTGATGCGACATAAGAACCATAGTGTGCTTGCGAAAACTGCACGTCTTAAACAACTGCAACCGACTTACCCAAAACAAAAGTGAAAGTCCACATGTTAGACATCTTTCCTACAAAAAAAAAAAAGAAAAGAGGATAACAATAAATTCAAAGGTATCTTATCTGTAAGCCTTAACTCTGCACTTCAGCATATCTATACGTTGTATACGTCGCGATTCAGTATCATCATTGACTTCGTTCTTACTTTCTTTGTCTCATGATTGAACCATAATATTTATGCTTTAACGACTAAGCGCTCCCCTGGCTACTGTGACTATATCATACGGAGAATGTTTTCACTATTTTACTATTTTATTCAACTTATACAATACTGGAAGTGTTTAAGTTGTTTACATCACAGTTCAAAATGGAACGTACAGGTTCGTTAATATTCCTGCAATAAACATTGTTCGTTTCAAATTTTTAATGCTGTTTCCAAAAATTTCTTGTTATTAAGAGACTTATGGCAACATCTGGCATATTTCCATAGACTACTATTTTATCATCGTATCACACCTATCCCAATTCTGGTAGTATTCCATACAGTGTTCTTTGTGAAAAAAGTTGAGTCGGCAGCTGAGTAACAATTTTAACAGAATTACTGAAAATTCTTCGTCGTCATAATTTTATTAAGGAGTCAATTGCTCATATAACGACACAAAAAGTTATGTTCTCTTATGCTGGCTTTTTGTTTCCTTTTATCTTTCTCCTGCAGTGTAGCATAAGACTCTACTTAAATCAATTTCATCAACAGTTATAACACAAAGCTACAAGATTACCTGAATAGTGTTTGTTTCACTTCTCCGCTAAAGTGTTTTTATGCTGCAGTCGCATTTACCAACACAACAAATATTTCACTCTCGTATACATATATAAAACCTTAACAGGTGTCTCAAGCTGGTGGGGTTATACGTAAGTTGCTCAAGTGGGGGCTCGACATATATTTATCTCAGACTCTGAAGAAGAGTTTTTCAATGTGTTGAAGAAATCTGAACTGGAAAAGAAAAGATAAAAACAAAAACAGTGTTCACAAAATGAAGTCAGCCTCTGGCCCCTCTGGTCATTTCCTCTTTTTTTAATAGTTAGCATTTCAAATGTCTCAGATTTATTTTGGAAAGGAAGTTTTAAAACCCGCCAATACTTCATCGTACTTTGTGAATCAAAATATTTATACCTTCAACTTTGTAAACTGAAAATCGATTGCAAGACTCGGTGTCTTAAGTTAGGCATTGTTCACATGCAAGACTAACCTTCAATATAATTGTAAATTATATTTTAAAAAAAAACAGTAATATTATATTAAAAACAAGCTCGGTAAACAAGCTTGTTGTCCTCTTTCCAAGAACTAACACATGAAAAATTGTCACGTGTTAACAAATACATAAATCATTAACTGGTCCTATGTACTGGTAACTTCTATTTTTTGTCTTCTGTTGTGAAATGACGTTCATTTGCAAGGATTTCGCATATGGTGCAGAGAATCCAGCTCTCACCTTCATCTTTATCGCTCTCTTAATTCGCACAAATTCCTAAGGATATATCTCGTGCGGCCATCAAAAGTTGACATGTCAAAAACTGAAATGAAGTTGAGAACGTCTGAGTCTTGAAATTTAATGCCCCTTTTTTATATTTGCCTTTTGAAATCGAGAAATTAAAACCTCGCAAAATATCGTCTCCCCAAATCGCAAACTTAAGTACCCGCGAAATTTTAATAAAATTTAAAATCACTAAGTTAAAAGTACTCGCAATTCTCAATTTTCTTTTTTCATTTGTGTGAAGACTTTGGGAGGCCTTGGAAGATGTCACTGTAATGTTCTCATATTTTGTTGCACTTCCTCTCCTACCGAAGAACTTGAAGCAGAATTCAGTTATTGTTATTTGCCCAACTTTCTCATTTCTGATCAGCTTAACAGGAAATTTCATATAGAAATCAGGCTTGTTGACAATTTTAAGTTGCTGAAAATTGACTCATTAATAAAAAATTCCTTTAAGTGTACGCATGCGCGTATGTCTGTATGTCTTTACTTCTTACTCATTAGAAATATTAGTAAATTTGGAATCTTTCCCAAAATGCCACAGTGTTATCCGCAAAACGGGACCATTTCTGTCATGAGAGGAGGTGAGGACATAATACAAAGACTCAAAGAAAAAGAGAGAAGCTCTACCATAAGCATAAGCAGCCGAGACTTAAGAATTTTAATCAGAACTTTCCGAGGGAAAATTGGACTCTAAAAAACCGGGAATTGTTTGCCTGAATAGCTATCATTTTATTTGATAGAGGGCGGGGGAGGGACAAGGAATACTTGGAAATAACGATTGACGAGAGTAGGGGTCAAAAGGTATAGTCAAGAGGTTCTCTTAAAGGAACTTTCCCTGTAAATAATCAATTGCAAAACCATATAAATGTACAATTGCAAAACGAAAATCCTTTGGTTACTGAGACAAAAAAATACGTCCACCGTATATCATAAAAGTGAACTTCTGTTTGCTGCTAAAAATATCATGCGATTGTCTCCCGGCCTTCTAATGAGGAATGCATGCCTAACGTCGCCAGATTTGCCAACGCAAGACTCATTCTATTCTCAAATCAGTTGATAAAAAAAGCCCACACAGATGTTTAAAGCTGCTCAAGGAGGCTGTCTCATTTTAAATTCACTTTGGGTTGTTTATGTATCCATAATCCTTTTTTAAATTTACTTGTTTGGGCTAAAATAATTAAGTCTATAAGACCAGAGTTGAAATAGTCAAATACCTACATGATGCCATAGAAAATTTTTGTAGGAAAGTTGAATATGTAAGCATTTCAAAGAACACAAAATAAAATTCAACCCAGTCATCAGTTTGTAGCAACAGTAAATAATAACTGTGGCTATGATATATAATGCACATCTCCATTCAGAATAATCTTAAAACTCAGATATGTTATTATTTTTTATTTTTCAAGATTTAGCAGTAAAGTTTGTTGTTAACTAATCCTCCAAGTTCGTTGATACTATCAGGCGGCCGTTATCCTTAAAATTAAATATTCAAAACTGTAGTAAACAAAATTAGACAATCATCTTTTATTTCCATATGTTTAGTTAGAATTTGAATAACAAAGGGATTTTTCCATCATAATCTTATCTTTGGGAGAAACCTTTGAAAGATGTCAACGAAGCCGATGTTATTTTACTTTTCTGTTGACTTATTTATTGCAAAAAAAAAAGTTCAATGGTTTATTCTATTAAATTTCCTAGAACAAAGAAACAAAAGGTGAAGCTGGTATTCTTGCACAGTTAACAATCAAAACTTAAAAAATAGATTATTAAAAAATGGACAACTCCCCTGAAAATTACTAAGTTAAATTTAGTACGAGCCAGAAGAACCACAAACCAGAATTGCTCTGGTCTCCGAGGCCTGTTACAACTTAAAGCGTAGTGGAACCTCGATTTCACGAACTTCGATATAACGAATTCTTCGATGTAACGAATTCTTCGATGTAACGAATTCTTCGATGTAACGAACGATAGTCTTCAGCCCGACCAAAGTTACAGTAAAATGTATAGGAAAGAACCTCGATATAACGAAATCCGACAGCGTTAAGATAACGGCGAAATTCGTAATTTCGTTCGTCTATACATATGAGGATTTCTTGAAGCCACTCAGTTGGTAGGATGGTATATATTATTACCGACCATAACAAAGCCAGTAACGCAATTACTGAATGGCCACCACTTATACATGCGTCAGTATGATAGAAAATTCTAAGATAGCCAGTCACGCAATGACAAAACAACGAGAATTATGATTATCATAAATCCTACGATTGCCGACACTGACACTATCAACAAAGCTACAAATCCGCTTTATCCTCTATGTCTCTTATTAGTCACAAGAAGGCTTCTTGTAGTTGAAAGTGTTTATGGCGGGAATTTCCTGTCTGATACCCTTGTTCCACTGAAATTTGTCCTCCGTGCTTTAAAAACAAGGTGCTGTAGCTATGTACAGACCTGTGCAGCGTACTGCAGCTTCATGTAGACATTAAGGCCAAATGTTATTTACAGTCATAATTCCGGTCCCGAAATGCTGGATAGTGTGACGTCACACCACAAAAAAGAAAAAAAAAATTCATCAGCCATCCCTCGATATAGCGAACATTTTGGTTGTTTTTCCGAAAATTCGTTAAATTGAAGTTTCCGATATGACGAGCCCTAGCCCACGTGTAGCCGTACTCTCCCCTGGCCCCCCCCCCTTCCTCCCGAAAAAAAAGTGAAACAGAAGGTAGGGAACCGTTGCACTAGGCATCTTGTTTTCGGCGGGAAATTGAAACCGGTGAGGACTTCCACGAAACATTACTAGAAACCGCTGTCCAACTGACCGCAGTATTTGCAGCGGCCTCCATGGTACACATAGATGTTCTTGATCGGCTGCATTTCCATAGCATGATGTAAATGTTACATACATAACGAGGGATGATTTGAAGTTGTGATTTGAATCCAAATGGCTGAGATGGATTTCTTAGTTGAAATCCTGTCAAGAAAAGGTGTAAGAAACTGGATTACGATTGGGAGTTAGCGCACACCGCGCCCCTATAACGTCACCCCACCTCCCCTCCCTTCCCAACGTGGTTCGCCGTGTTCAGATGTTTTGGTTTGTTTGTTTTTCTTTTATTGTTCATTTCTACAAAAGAGTTTGTCAATTTCCAGTTGATTTTAAACAAAACTTCCATTACCTAAGTATGCCCCATAATTAGAGCAATTGGAGGCGAAATAACTCTGAGGATATTGGAAGATCACATGTTATTTTAGAATCACTTTCCTCTCACTTTGTTGACGAACACTGGTTGCTTGATCCCAAAAGACAGAGATTTAGAAAGACTAAAACTCAGACTCACTCGATATACTTACACGTGTTTCTTCCTTAACAAAAACCACCACAAACTAGCTTCCTGTGCCACAATTCGCTAATTTACTGTTCAAATTGCAGTTTGTGCCACACATGAACAATAGCGAGTTTAAGAATCGACGACGGCGATGCCGTGGACAACGTCGGTTAAAAAGTGAACCTTTATTTTACCTACGAATCTCGCGATACGCTAAAGTCATTTAGTTTGTTTTTCACTGTCAAATCTATCTCGAAACTGAATAAGGAACACGGCGTTAAATTAGAAATAGAAATTTAAAAAATTAGCCGTCGTCGGTCACGTTCTCCAAAACAACGCAAAGTTTGGTGATTTCACGTTGTAGTTTTGCAGAGGACGCAGAGAAATTTAGAAAAATTTACAACGCACGTGCAAAGCCATTGTTCTGTTCATTAAACCTTGTGTTTAGTGATGTTCCCGTTGCCGTTGCAGTTGTGGTTTTCTTAAACCCCCATCATATCTGCCAGAGAGGGCATGGAACTGTTTCCCTCCCTTCTGTGCAGGCCCAGCCGATCACGTGGAGCAGTCAGAGGCTCAGGAGCGCGCTGCCTGTGAGGCTTCTTCCTTTACTAAAAGGCGAGGTCAGCACTCTGCAGTCCTCCGTGTGATGAGACGAAACTGGAACGTTTAAAGAGCCATTTTGAATCAGTTTTCCAAGCGACTCTCTTCAATGGACACGTGAGGAAAGATGGCACGTTAACCTTCCCCGAGCCGCCTCGGACAAAACAGCTTGAATCCATTTTGGGCGTTTTTACGAGCACTGAGTCGGCTTTTAGGGGATAAAAATCACGTACATGTAAGATATAAGGTAAAGGTCTGATTATTTATTTCTACAGCTGAACATACTCTTTCTTCGCCATTTTAGTGAGAGTTATTCAAGGTTTGATGCTCATGACCATTTCAGGAATTTCCACAATTTTTAAAAGGAATAATTAAAGATATGATCTTTTCTCTGAGATGTTAAACTTACTTGAAACCTCTACAACTGGCCCCAAAGGTTGTTCTTCGAAGGAATCACTGACAATTAGTGCTACCGAATAAACTGTTTCTCATCAACTGACATTGTATCACTTGCTGTAAAGAAAGCAACAACCACATTAGAGAAATAATTTAAGTTTTTTTATATCCTTATTAGCAAATGGAGACATTAACAAGTTGTGAAATTCTTACAAAAGTCCTTATTTTGAAAGGAATAGATTTCAGTTGACCTGCAGATGAAATTCAAGCAAGGAAATGATCCTCACAGGTTGACTGTAATTTATTATTAATAAGAAACTGCAGAAAAGAAACCTAAAAAAATTCAGGCTTTGAAAGGATTTGAACCCGCAGAGCCTCCAAGATACTAGTTGGGCACTACTACCAACTGAGGTACAGAGACACTCATTGAGAGGCAAGTTTTAAGGGGTTCTCCTTTCCCATTAACAATTCTGATCATAATTTTTAATAAAATAATTTAATTTGAGCTGCAGATGAAAATCAAGCAAAGAAAGGGTCGTTGCAAGTGGACTGTAATTTAAGCAATTGCAGAAAAGAAGCCAGCAACACCTCCTACATACTAGTTGGGTGCAACAACACCAACTGACCTAGAAGGCAAAATTCAATACAAAAACTCGGGACAAGTCATCTGTTTTCAAATGTTAAAAAGAAAAGATTTTGGACAAGGGTTATCGTAGGGGTGCCCAGCATCATTACTAAAAGCTTGATCTGATAAGGATCAAATTACTTAAAACAACTGACATGTGTACTCTATGATATGTGGTTTCCATTACACCAACACAAGAGAAATGTACTTCTAACAGTAAGAAACAACCGTAATAAGAATTTCCTTCAATAAGTCAACCAGCAAAACTGACATGTCAATGGTATGGGTAACATCCACCATTAGTTTTATCAACTGAGTTAACAAAACCAAACCACAGTTGTTATTTGGAAAATAAACTCCTTTATTTTGTAGATCAACAGCACAGTGTGCCAACCTGTGAAACCTTGTATCTGTGACAATTCAGTGATGATACACAGGAAAAAAAATAGCCTATGGATGATCAATTAAAAGTGTGACCTACTCTGCTCTGATAAGTATTGAATAAGAATGCACTTGTGGTGCCACAGGCAGCATTTGTTGCCTAAAAAAAGTTATAATTTACATTAAAACTTAACAACCTTTCACACTTTCTGTGGTTTTACAGTGTATTTTGAGAAGCAGGGATTTTGCATTTTTAATTTCCTTTCTATCAAATAAAGAAGAGACCACATCACACACTTACTGGAAGATTCTTGGCTGAGTCCAATTTAACAAAAAGAGCTGCTGTTGCTAACATCTCCTCACCAATAATGGCTTAGTCAGGCTGTATATGAAAAACAAAACTTATAAACAAGCTAATAATACACAGTCAAGATCTTTGCCTCTTCACCTGACCAATGGTTGGTCCTGCTTACATATGTAAAGGAGCAAGGTACAGTTCTTGCTAAACTGGTCCTGTTTTTTTAAGCATGGCCAGTCAATAAAAAAATAAGTTCTCCCACTGACTACTGTACTTCTAAAGTGTTCCAAAGTTGCTAGACATGTTAAACATTACAAACAGAAAATGGTGAAAAGTTGTTTCTGGGCCTTGAAAACACACAGAAGGAACCAACTCACACACCTATTCTCAAGAGTACAGGTCCACAACTTCTGCTTTCCATTTACTATTCTTTGACTGCACTGATTTGGTTTTTCGATTCAGCTTGTCCTCATAAATGAAAACCACCCTATTGTTAGTGAGTGTGAACTTACCAGTGGGAGATCCTCTGGTTTGGCAGTCAGTGTGAACCATGTGCATCTCAAGTTGATCTGGCCACTCTTCACATTCTCTAGTGGAAGCCACTGTATTCAAAAATTACATAATTACAGGTTAGAATAAATTGAGTGAATTAAACCCTTTAACTCTCAAGATCTGATCATCAATTCTCCCCTCTGGCTACTACACATTTCCTTGTAAATTGATTATGAGAATTAGGTTTCAATCAAGGTAATACTGTAAATTGTACCTGATGAGTTTGAGTGTTCTCATTACCTGTTTGCTGTATAATGTATGGATACTACAGAGAGAAGTTACATGGTAATCACTTCTAGGAGTTTTAATCTGAGTGTTTAAACCAATAATTCATCACAATGGCCAATCAGGACAGGGAGAATTATTAAAATGAACCTGTGAATGTAAACTCAGTTGAAAGAAAAAACGGGTAAAGTACCCAAAGTAGAGGAAAGTGTCACTGATCAAATCACTATAAGTTTTATCTCTTTGCATGTGTTTGGCTCAGAGGGTAGCACATGTTTTCAAGACCAATCACAGACCATAAGAAGTAAACTCACCCTTGGGAACTGAATTCCCAGTTTTCTGGGAATTCTCAAAAATTCCCAATTATGTAAAAAACCCTTGCAAACTGAACTCCCAGTTTTCTGGGAATTCTCAAAAATTCCCAACTATGCAAATAAGGTCTGAGTTGAAAAGCTTGGAATTACTGGGAATTTCTGGGAAAGAAAGACTCCAGTTTTGTGAGGACTTGGAATTCTCGCTATACAAACTACCCATAATTTAAGAAGGGTGGAATTCTTGGGAATTTCTGGGAACAGAATTTGAGGCAAGAGGTCCACTTAAATTCTAAGAAATTCTTAATACCTTGAATGTGAAGGTTTTAAGAAAAGGAGTAATTTTAGAGGCCTAAAACTTTGGCTCAATAAAATGTATGCTATACAAAATTTATGAACTTAAGTTACTTCCCTCACCTACATTACTGGTTGCCTTTGTTAAAAAACCTTGGAACAGTCAAGTTCAGTTGCCTCAAACACTGTCAGAGACTTTTTGTTGACATTATTTTTAGTAGAAATTTCATGCCTTAGACAAACAAATTCAACACCTAATTAATCTTTCTTTTTCATGATTGTTGTTGCTGTTTTTTTTTTCAGTTTTTTGCTGTTTTTATTCTTACAAAACATTTTTGTAAGAGTTCCAATACTTGTGGATCATCCACACACTTTGCAAACATTTGGCATGCAGACAAGTCAGAGGTAGTCCATATTTCCTTTGAGAAAAAACACCTTTTAAATGACTTCTTCAATTTACTTTCTTTGAAACTCTGATCTGATAATATTTTTAGAGCAAGACTTGTTAGTAGTGAAAAGTACAAACCGAGTTTCCTTTCATAACTTAATTTCTTAAATGTCCCAGTCACTGGATCTCCCAAAAAAATATTACTTGATTTTATTTTTGGTGCAAAATACAAGTCCTTCTTTATATACAAATGATAAGTGCGAGTCACACTTCAATAATAACAGCTCTAAAGTTTACTTGTTGATCTTCTCTGTCTGTCAGCTATCAACAAAATTGTTTTATACTTCGGACAGCGAATTACCATTTGTGGACCAGAGTTCCAACGCACCTCTGTAATCGCATATAGTTACTTCTGTCTCTTGAACAAATGTTTCTCCTTTGTAAGACGTACTCTACTCTGTTGTCACCACTGCTTTAAGTTCAGTGGAAACGACTGACTGCGGAATCGAGATGGCAGTGTTGGAACGTGTTGCTAAACGCTTGCTACGGTCAAGCTTTGTTGATTTAGGTACTGGTACACTGGGATCATCTATGTATCTCTTATACTTCCAAATGTGGTATCCTTCTTTTATAAAAATGAGGGTAAAAGACGATTTGTAATCGCACTCAAAATTGTGATTGGCTTGTGTTATTTCTCACATTTGCCATGCACACAACTCAATTGGGTTTCGAGTCTTTGCTTCCCCGACAACTTTCGGTCACAAATCGTGCATTTGTAGTAAGATCGATTCTTGTCGATTATTTCTACATAGAGTGAGCTCACGGGTCCAAGGTATCCATCGTGCAGAAGCAGAGAATCGGTCGGAGAAGTCAGAGTGAAGTTGTGCGCTTCTCTTGACACTGCAATCGGCAAGCCGGAGGATTTACTTTACTAGCCAATGAAAAGTCCTAAAAGATCCACGTGATCATACCCGTGATCGGAAACAAAGAAGACTCTATTTGGCGCTCATCTTTGAATGTACCTTTCATCGGTTGATCGCTCCTGTGTTAAGTTATGTCTTTTCTTAACTGTCTTGCTTAATATAACATTTCTTAAGATAGTATTTACTGTGGTTAAATGGGAAAACGAGAACAGCGTGAGTGTTGTAAAAGAAAAGAAAGTCGTTGGCGCCGTGGAATTAAAAGAAGGGACAACAGTTGACATATTGACTGGTACAAACAAGGGTCGAGTGGCCATTTATAAAACTACGATTTTGAACGGAAACGCGAGAAAACGTCACGAAACCAGTAATGGAAACACAGGTTATCCGTCGTGTTTCCAGAACAGTTTAACGTGTTTCTGCCACGTTTCCGTTTACGGATTCTTGCAATTTCGTCCTGTGCTATATCAAATCACATGGTGTTAAACAAGGTTCCTAACACTGGTTATTGAATATGACATACAACAGAAAGAAATATCATCATGAGCTATGGTGCACATAAAGTAAGATACTCACTGGTGTTCTAAAACTGATCTTGTCTCAGTGAATTTATCTCCTCATGGAGGCAAAGCAAATGACAAATCCAAAAAATGATGTAATAATTAATAAATTTATGCTTTACTGATTGCTGATTCTATTTAATTCAGAATAAACAATCAAAAAAGTTTACACAGATGTAGAATTTTCAGAGGAGTTCAGACTTTAAGTATGATTCACCTTCCATGAAACTGGGGTAGAAAAGACACTTGGATACATATTGCTGCTGGTCAGTAAGGGCTCTTTCATGTCTTTAGCTCATACAGTAATCTCCATAAGCTTTGATACATACCTCTGAGAATGACATTTGGATCTGAAGAACCTTTAGATATGATAACAATGTCTTTCTTGATTAAGTCTATTTAGCTTCCAGGAATTCAATGTGAAGGACACCCTGGAGTGACAAGAGAAAGCAAAATCAACTGTCAAAAACCTTTAATCCTTTCAGTCCCACAAGTGACCAAGACAGAATTTCTCCTTACAATATCAATACAATATCAAGCAGGCAGGTGATGAGAATAGAGAAGAATGTCAACCAATTGTATGGCAGATAGTAAGGAGAATTACTAATTAGATCTTAAGAGTGAAAGGGTTAAAAACTTCACTTATGTGTGCACTTGGTGTACTCAGTACTACTGAGTTATTCAAGTTTAAATAATCGTTTTAAACATGTCTGGAGGTACAAAGACACTTTGAAAAAACAGAAGACAATTTGCAGAAAGAAAATTCTATTGATAAGTACAAGTCACTCACATCAGGCAAGAGGTATTTCAGTTCATATGGATCAACATCAGTCAAAGGGACTGTGGTCCTGTTTGGGAGAACCACAAATCACACCACAACATCATATATTACTCTAAGGATCATGTCACTGAAAAAAAGGGAAGTTAGAGAACCTCACATCACCTCTAATCCAGATTAGTTTGATTTATAAATCATGTCTACTTTACTGCAACTAATGATTCATAATATGTTAAGTATATCTACTGTTGCCCATGTGAGTTTTTTGAAGGGTGAAGCATACCTCAGACTAGGAATATCAAGAATATTTGCCATGTTTGTTAAGTCAAAGTCTATGTCCTGTAAAGAATAAAACAAAAAACAAAATTTACAATAAGCTGAATCATACACCCAATTTGATTGGATTTTACTTTCAATCTCTCTGAGAACAGAGGCATAGATTACATCACCATGAACAACATTTTACTTCCCTATAATATAAAACCATTGGATTCCTTGTTACAGTCTGTCTAGTCAGTAACAGATCACAGATAATGACAAAATGTGGTGACACATCAGTGACACTCGGTTGCAACTTAAGAGCCACTTTTTTTTTCCTACCACAGTTTGACATCTGTGGTCTGTAACTGAACAGACCTACTGCAAAATGGAATGTATTTGTTAAATATCCAACTTGATTCAGTTTGTAATAAAGTATTGACAACCTAAAAAACAACTTTTCTTGTCAAAAATTTGTGTTTTAATTAACTTTCAACTTATCGGTCTGATAAGAAAGAAGACTGGCACCCCACCCACAGGAGGAGGAACAGTTGGAATGAGAGGGCACAAAATCACATGCAGACTTCCACAAAGCTGAATGGGATGAAAAGAAAACCATAAGAAAACAGCAGGATAATAAATGAGAATTCCAGTTTCAAACAACTCATGCAGGTAAAATGTTGGAGATCTTCAATGCCAACACTGACACCCTTGACAGATAATGCAAAGTCTGAATCCCCAGTATAACTAAAGCAATGACAATAAAGACAGAAATTAGAAAATTTTGAAAAAAAATTTGCTATCTTTTCTAAATTCTGAGATCAAAATTTAAATTTTCACACTGTTTGCTATACATTTCATATCATTTTAGCACTGAGAATTTGGTGTAAAACCAGAAAATACAAACAATGTTAAAGCTGAGGCAATCTATCAGAGCACAAATGCCTAACTATCCATACAAATTGGGTGAGATAATTCTAAAATTATCACCACTGATCAGTGTTACCACCAGTGCCTTTGTTTGGAGGCTTGGCATATTAACTCTGCCCAGGCTCCTTTAAATTGTGATGATGATGGTTTGCTTCCTGACGCCTATTTACACCTCATCAGAAAAAAAGGCCGCTAATTAGTGATCATATAAAAGGACCTCTTGTTGCAGCATTTAGATCACCCCTGATGAAGGCACTAGACAGGAGTGTCGAAATGTTGGGTCTATGAGTTGTAACTTCTTCGGTTACATTCATTAAATCTGTAAACCAGAGTAGCATCAAACCATGTCTAACTTTGTATGGGGTTTTAGGAGGGCTTATAAATGGAGGGCCATACAAACACAATGTAATATCAGACAAGGTTTAAATTAACCAGAACAGAAAAAGCACAAGCTCTAGCAGCACTGATCAAAATATGTATATTTGCATTAATAAATTGAATTAATTTCAATACATTTAGAAAAAACTTAAATTAAAAACTAACAACACAAACAAAACTAGAACATTACAAAAAGGAAGTTTAGACTTTGATTTCCTTGAAGCTTGTCTTTGCTTCTTTAATGAAAATAATAATGTCCAATTTACAACAGCATGGCTTCCTGCTTATTACTAAAACAAGAAAAGCTAGAGAGGTGCTTATATCCAAGGAGGGAGGAGGGGTAGCTTATAATTAGATGTATGTTTTGTTTACTTTCTTGCATTGATGAGCCCAGAAAAAACTTCATGCAGCTCAACCAATTTTTAATGTCATGATTCAGAGTTCAGATGCATGGAAATATGTTAAGTAAATTTATGTTTTTTAAAAGAAAGATAATGAATGCTCTTCTTTTTTCCAGTTGGTTCACATGAAATAAATCATGCCAATTCATACATTCTCTTGGAATGAAAATGTACACTAAGGTGACTATAATATTTAAGGAAAGTGCTTACAGAACTGTTATAGATTGAAAGGCAATCAATATCACAGAGAAAATCTGTTATTTGTTCTAATTAATTGCAAATTCTTCATTTTAAAATTATTTTTCTTAATCAAGGTTCATTTAGTTTTATCTCAAATTCATTTTCTACATCACACAGTTTATAAATAACACATATTCTTACATGTAAGTCTCTTTGTCTACAAGAAAGTGTTCCAGAGAACAGAAACATGCTCTGGGATTTTGAACTGATTATGATAAAACTTGTTGAAAAAGATAATTAAGTGAGATATTCCAAAAGCCAGAGAAATTAACATTTCAGCCTTTTAATTTGAAATTTGAGGGGATAACGTTTAATGCCTGAAGAACACAACTAAAAATTCAGTTTCTCAATCTCTATTTTAGCTAAATTAAATTAACATCACTTGGACCACGCCATATTTCGTGGTGTTTATTGTGTCTAACGAAAACAAAACAAAAAAAATTGAAGGGTTGGTGCATATTAGGGTAGTTCATTTGAGTTGGAGGACATTGTTTTGTCCATCACCCCAATCCTTAGTGATCAGTGCAACATTTGTCAGAAGATGAGTAAGTAACGTTCCTATGTAATAAGATACATTTCATAGACATTGAATCGGTTGAAAGTTCTTTGAAGATCTCTCACCTGTGAGGGGTTCCTTGTAAACATTAGAATTTCATCATGGTAGAAAGACGTTACTTTACATATCCGATGTACAAAGTGAAGATTAGACGAGTTTTTAGAACAGGTCATCATCATCCGTCATCAAATGTAACACAACTGTCGAAATAAACTGACTATTCAGTGCGACATCGACTCTTTCAATTCTAAATTCACGGCAACTCGTCCGCCATTTTGAATGTGACTGCTAAGAAACTGGGTTGAGAGCTAGTCTAGGCCAATCAGAAAGAAGACACTGTGTTAAAAGAAATCTGGGTGCTTAACTCCGACGAATCTGGATTTTGATTTTGAAATCGGGAATTCGGATTTTACGGTAAAACATGAAATCCAAGAACGACTTTCAACGCTGAGAAATCCATCCTCAAAATGGATCTCAATTAAGAAATCCAACTCCGGATCTCATGGATATCTATGTTTTGCGTTCTTCCGGGAAATCCCAAAAGGATCTATTCTAGGAGGGGTCTCAATGTGGTTAACCGTTGGCTATAAAAAGAAAAAAAAAATTAGCTTTTTAGATTAATTAGATTTTTTAATGGAAATCCACCTTAGGGAAAGATTTTTCAGCGTCGAAATCCGTTTTTGTTTTTCATTTTTACTGCAAAATCCGAAATATGTATTTCAAGATTTTACTCCGGATTTACAAATCGAAAGCACCCAGAACTTTAGAGCCGCTTTCCAAATATTCCACAAGTATTCGCAGTTATTTTGGACTCTTTTGAATAGAAAAATGAATAAGATTTAAATCATTCTTATGATTCACTTTCAACAAAATGCATCTAAGTGATGTACGCTCAGGGGCGTGCATCACGTGAGTACCTGGGCATGAGTATGATAGATAAGCCGATAGACAAGGTTTAAAAGAACCGTTCCAACTATTATAGACTTACTTTTTTGATGATCATTGGTTTGATGACGGCAGTGGAAAGACAAAAATACTGTCTATTCTTCTTAAAAGAACTTTGCTTACAACAGTGTATCTAAAAATTACATTTCTACTGCCGTGTTTTCAGATTTCAAAGCAAAAAAAATCAACAGGTAAGAAGTTGACTATCGACGCTGCTATTTTCAAAATCAACATAGTAATCTGGCCGCAAGCTATCGACTCGCGAAAACCACATCCAGCAGTTCACAAGCAGTTCCTGGCCAGAACGAACAGCCAAGAAATCGTCGTAGCAAAATTTGAAGGAGAGATCATTCGTTTGAAGGAACTGTGTACACACATGGAAATTATAGTTGAGAGACTGAGACGAAGACCGCTGTTTTTGTATAATAAAGTGTAAAGTAAGTAATTCAACAATTAAAGGAAGATGAACCACCTTCGATCTGAATTTACAGGTACACTAACAGTACTATCACTGAAACAGAATAGTGCCGCTAATTGGTGTAGGAGCATTTATTGCAATGAGGGTGTTTCATATTCGGTAGGGGTGATTATTAGAACAACAGCGCTTATTAACAAAAACGAATTCGAAGGGGGCCCTTCTTAGAGGGTGCTTATTAGAGAGGGGGCGCTTATTAAAGGGCGTGCTTATTAGAGAGGGGGCGCTTATTAGAGGGGGTGCTAATTAGACAGGGTGCTTAGTGGAGGGGATGCTTATTAGAGAAGGGGCGCTTTTGGCACGAGGGCGCCAAATCAAATCATTACGGTACTGATCAGTGGTACCTGTTTAAACAGTAAGAAAAGCTATTGAATTTAACAGTCGAATTGTTAGTTCAAGCTAATCCATTACACACTTGTTTAGGCGTAGCATCCTCTGTAGTAATTCTTTGTAACGTTTTCATTTCATCAGTCATACAGTGCACCTTGTTCCTACATTTCTTAATGGCCATTTCCTGCTCTGCCTGTTTCCGCAATACTTCTTGGGTTGATTTGTACATGTCCAAGAGGGAATCCAACTGTTTCATCTTCTGTGAAAGTATTATCAATAATTTACAATAAACAGTCATAAGGGCAATTCTGTCTATTTTGGTTCCTCAAGCTCAAAGTGTTAATCAGTCGACTTTCCAAAATAATGACTAAGAGTCCAAGGGTACTGCTTTACTACGCTCTGTAATATATCCGTAGAACCAGAAAACCGTCGGAATCTGTTTTTGTTTACTAGACGTGTGTGATTTTTTAACTCGTCATTTGACTGGAGAAAGAGTATATCCGGGAGACAAGGGTAAGCACTACCTCCCTGTAACCGAAAAAACCGAAGGTTTAATTCCAGATCATTACTTGTACTGCGAGGGGAATGGAAAATTGTTGAATTTCCAAGGGGTGAGGAAGAGCGGATCCTGGTGGTAGAAGAAGAGACCACAGTGCATGACCTTCATTAAAAATTTATGGAGATACAAGAAAGCTTGTTGATGGAATCTTTACATTCAACTTCTCCTACCATTTCTGTGCTTGAATTTAAACCTTTCTCTGGAGCTCACGTCCAGTATTATTGGTTGATCAGTCAACTGACAATCTGATTCAACTTATTTGAACAATCCTGCAGCAACTGAATCGATTTCCAGCATCAAAGGTGATCTTTCAGTTAGATACTCTTTACGCGATTGAACTCCAGGATGGTTCGATTATTAGAAGACAAAAAAAATGAGCTGAAATTTTTTATATTTATTTTTAATTAGACACTAAATGGCTTGACAATAAATTATGAAACGTTTCACACTTTTTATAACATTCTCACTTGGGTTTTCACTCCTGTGATAGTTTTTTTCTTCTATTTTTGCGCAAGCTCCTACAAAATTTTAACTTAAATCGTAGGTTAACAACAAAGGTGAATAAATAAAGGCGCCAGATGAAAATACATTATCTGACCTGTGCACTTGATATATGTGTGCAGTGGAGTAAATACGATTAGTGGCGTAGCATTGTAATAACAATTAAGCCACCTACTAAAGAACATGCTAGGACTAAAGTCAATAAATAACGAGTAATATATGCAACTGAATGCTGAGTAAATAGTTAAATAATGTTTATAAGTAGTAATAAATCTAATAATATTGAAATAAAATCAGTTGCGGAAACTTCTGACGACACTGGAAACGCAACACGGCCGTAAACATGCTTTTACGATTATCTATTTAGCAAACCATACTAACTTCCTTTCTCCTGTAGCTGTTTTTACTTGTCTACAACAACTCAGACAATCAAAAAATGAAAACAAACATTGCGGGCTCGCACTAGTCACTGTCATACCTTATATGAGTTATTCTCTAATGCTCTTGGTTAAGTAAATGCATCATTTTCATGATATAACGGTATATAACCTTTCTTTTACTAAAACGATAACTAGAACTAAAGAGGACTTGATGAGTCAATGCTAGCAATTACAGACGTGTATCCAGCACCATATCATCTTCTTCGTAATGTCCTGTTGAATAACAAAGTAACTCATTATCATGATACTTTAGTTAACATTGTCGCTTGAAACAAATAACTAAGAGTTTTGGAGTATTGAAGAATATTTCCTTTACCCAGACTGATAAGTGAGAAATTTATACTCCAAAACTTTAAATTTTGGCGAAAATGGAGGGTGGCAAAACATACCTTCGTCCATAACTAGCTGCTGCTGTCGTGGAGATTTATCTTCCGAGGACCCATCACCCTGCGGTTGGGAGTCCCCGCAAGCTTCTTTTGACTTCTCGTCTCCAAGTTGATTTTGGTTGAGTTTTTCGTACTCTCCTTTTGGCTTTTCAGTTTCCAGTTGCTCTTGTTTAGGTTCCTGATTCTCTCCTTTTGGTTTTCCTTGCTGCAGTTGGTCTTTCATATGTTCTTCATGGCCTTCTTTTGGTTGTTCATAATCCAGTTGCTTTTTCTTAGAATCTTCATCGTCTCCTTTTGGTTTTTCTTGTCCAATTTGCTCGAGTTTAGGATCCTTATGGTCTTGTTCTCGTTCTTCTTGATCACAATCAACTTGCTCCTTTTCGGTTTCTTCTGGGTGTTCTTCTTGCTCCTGCTCATCTTGTTTATTTTGCTCTTGTTGCTGTTCACTTTCTTTTTCATTTCTTTTCGACTTTTTCTTCTGTTTACCCTCATCTTTTAGCTCATCAGGCTCTGCATGGTCGACATTCGGTTCTTTTTCTTCTTCCTCTTCTTGAGTGCCCGGTTGTTTGGATTCCTGGTCGTATCCTTTAAGCTTTCGCTCAGGTTTTCCATCGTCTTCATTTAGCTCCTGTTTTTCTCGTTGCGTTTCACTTACTTCTTTGTTTCCCTTTGAATCTGCTTGATGATCTTGTTCAACTTCATGCTTTTTAGGGGGTTCTTCATGGTCATCTTTTGGTGCTTCGTTTCTTTTAGATTCATCTTGCTGCTGTTCAGCGGGTTCTTTTTGGCATTGTTTTGGTTCTTCGTCTTGTTCACGTACAACTTGCTGCTGTTCTGTGGCTTCTTCTTGGCATTGCTTTGGTTCTTCGTCTTGTTCACGTACAACTTGCTGCAGTTCTGTGGCTTCTTCTTGGCCTTGTTTTGGTTCTTCGTCTTGTTTACGTTCAACTCGCTGCTGTTCAGTGGGTTCTTTTCGGCCTTGTTTTTGTTCTTCGTTTTCTTCACATTCAACTTGCTTCGCTTCAGTAGATTCTTCTTTTGCTTGTTTTGGTTCTTCGTCTTGTTCATGGTCAACTTGCTGGGATTCAGTAGGTTGTTCATTGTCTTCGCCTGATCCTGCATGTTGCTCACCATCTCCTTGTTCTTCTTGCGATTCATCCTCACTATCGTCAGCGCTCTCAACTTCCTCTTGGTTTTGTACTGTGTTCAATAAAATAAACACAAAAAGGGAATAAGATTAAAAAGTGTTTCCTCGGGTAGTTGTGGTTGGCCAAATCGCCAAATTTTTTAAACGAGCTACATCGTGCTTTTTGCACTTGGTGACCGCATTTTGTAACTTCTCTGTCCTTAATCATTTACGCTCCGCTTTTGCTCTTTCCGAATATATCTTTGTGGCTTTGATACCTTATTAAAACCATTATTTGAAAAAGTTTCACGGTCGACCAAACACTTAGCCTATATTGCCGTGCGTCCGTTTATTCATAGCTCACAGATGACGTCAAAATGCCGGTAACATCAAAAACGTGGTGCACTGGACTCAGCCGAGTAAGTCTGATGTTCTTAGCCTATTTCGACTTTTTCTGTGAGCGATTTTTATAGGTATCTATTTGTTTTACGATATGAAAAGCGAAATATTGTTAGTGGTGACAAAATCTATAAGTCTTCCCTCCACTAAATAATAATTAACAATCAGTCAAAATAGGATTAAGCATATTACATATCAAGAAAAATTGCGGTCATTAAAGTGACTCAAAATATGGTTGTCTGTAAACTTCATATTGAAGATTCAAATACTTTTCACACGTTTCCTAAACTGGCAAAAAGGTCGGACCGACTTGCTTCAAAGTTACATGAATGCTTTTCTTTGGCTTTTCTGTTGCGCTCTTGGTTTTGAATGCTAGGTGTTGCGTCCTGAAATGTGTTTTAGTCTGTGGAGAAGCGAATGGTGCGTACCTTCTTCGATAACTCTCATCTCTATTCCCTGATCTTGAACTGACGAAAAAAATACAAGCAAGCGGACAAAACATCAGCAACAACAAAACTAGTCATTCATGAGGCAACGTCTTTTTTTATCATTTGAGGTTGAGTCTACCTATGTGTTTACATGAAATACACAAGCTCGCGCGCCACTAAATACATACATCTGTTTCTTATTCATATAGGTAACAAAAAGTATCTCTTGGCTTACGAACCGATCTGATTGATTAACGCACGGTACATCTGCTCTAAAACCTGTTTTAAACGTGACTTTATAGCATGAAACCAAAAAATTAAAGAACGCGAAAACCACTCACCAGAATAAAGAAATATTATTTAAAAGTGTCAAAAATTACCTTCCGCATTTTGATTTCGGCCGAGTTTTGTCATCAGATAATCCCACAATGGTTGGAGTTTGGCTCTGATGACACCTCGGACCTTAATACATTGAAACAAAACACGAGGTTGTGATCAGTAAATAGTGCTTCCTCACCAGTTTTTAAACCCTTAAAGTCTTTGATTTCCTCACCAATGCGCAAAATACTTTTTTGCAGCTTTCCAGCCACTCTCAAACTGAGTGCGATACAATGAAACGTGTACGTTTTTCATACAGAGGAGAGTTCTGAGTCAGAGGGATCTCAGAAATGGCGGAAATCAAGGTTATCAGCTAATATAAAATACGGTAAAATTATACACAGTGAGACACTTCATGGCGGTCCGTGTTCCACTTATTTATTCTTGTCGAATTTAGATGTGATCTATGATCTGTAATCTGTGAGTGATGATATAAATGCAAAATTTAACTTATCGGCTAAATATATATTTTTCCAACTGTTCAAGTTATTAGTACATGTACCTGTGGGGTAGACAAGGTGTAGAGAATGGGATTGATGGCAGAGTTAACTGGCAGAACAAAGACTGCGATCCAAACTGCGAGGTCACCAGGTGTACGGAAGGATTTTTCCAAGAGAGACCTCATTCCAATCGCCACAATAGGTAGCCAGCAGGCACAGTCGGTAAGAACAATGAAGAACACTCTTTTGGCGAGCGAGGCCTCCCTCCTTAGATGGGCTGCCCTTGCCTTGGCTTTCATTCTCCTCTCTCTTTCGGTCCCTTGCTTAGCCATGCGCCTACTTGATGCGCAGGTCTTATAGATTATCATCGTATATGCCACAACGACAAAGAGCACAAGGATAAAGTTTAAACCCACAAACATGGCAACAGAGTATTCCCAGCCCGACGGCTTATCAGTGGAAAGCTGCAATGGCAAACATACAACTGATCTGCCATAAAAGTGATGACCTTTCTGGCGACTACCGAAGTAGTCAAAGCCCACCGTGGGAATAAATGCAATTATGCCACCAACAATCCAGATAAGGAAGCACAAAAGGTGCGTAACCTTAAGGGAAAGGGACTTTCCACGATAGGGGAACAGAACATTTTTCATCCGGTCGGCGGAGAGCAAACAAATCGTCATTACAGACACCTCACTTGACATCACGGCAATGGCACCTGTTATCTGACATGTCAAACTTGAACGCCAGTAATAGTCATGCAAATAATACTCCCCTGCCCAAATGGCATCCACCACACCTATAGTTATGAGGTAGACACCCATAAGTCCATCAGCCCCAGCCAAATGTATCAACATCATTGACTGTATCTTGTTTTTCTTCTTCTTCTCCCGAAACACCAACCGCCACACAATGACAAACACAGCACCAACCAACGACATGATTCCAATCACCCAGAGGCACTCCCGAGGAGCTCGATTTCTGAACAAAGTTTCACAACTGGCGAAGCTGTCGACATAAGCAAAGTCGCAATCTGCGTCCTCCTTCGTCAAATGGCAACACATCAGGTTGGTGTCTACAGTCCTACGGTTCATAAAAATAGTTCAAATGAACAACAAAAGGAAAAAAAAGACAAATTTAATCCGTCACAGGATCTAAATTTTTAAGAAAATGAAAGTGTGATAGTAATACTCTAAGTGCAGTATAACTGGGCACTGACGAATGAAATTTTTCAATTTTTACTCCTCGCATCTAGAATATTCCACTTGACTTACGCAGTTATTAGATTCTTCATGTTTGAAAAGAAACCCTCCGGTAGTTCTCGCATTTCGTTGAAATGGAAGTACCTGCAAATGGAAAGCAATTCAGGCAAACTTTGCTCGCTAATTCTTGATTACATCGACATCTTTAGTCTATTAATCACAACCGTTACAAATTCCTCAAATCTCATTGGTGCATTCGCAGCTTCACTTTTCAGTAATCATTCTGTACAGTTGTAATAGGACAGTGTAATCGGACAGTTGGCTGTAATCGGACAACTGTAATCGGACAGTTGAAGCAGCCAATCACGCTAACTCCACTCAGCTAATCCGCCAATCGCAGAAATTAACAAAATGACCATAGCAACAACCATTTATCCAAAGAAAAACTGGGAAATTTTTAAAATGGAGGAATTTTTAACTAAATACATTGTCTCCACTGGAGATATTTGTTTAAGATGCATTTGTTTTTTCGGAAATTGAAATGGTTATGATTAATTGGTAACAGGACTTCTTGTCGTCCAATTCTGTCTGTAATCACACTCGTGATTAACAAATCGGACTTCCACTTCGCGCTCGTCCGATTTTGTTGATCACTCGTATGATTACAGACCGAGTTAAACTCCGCTCGGTCCTATTACCATTATGTATAAATCAGTTTTTCGGCTATCTCTTTTTCCTTTTCCCGCCCAATTCTCAACAACTATTTGATAGAAAACTAACATCGAAGACGAATAACTCGTCACTGATTACGGAAAACATACTTACACAGGCTATGCCAAAGTGTCTTTACTTGTTATACTGATATGCTTTTAATACTCCAATGAGTACATGGTGCACTAATTTCAAATTTAGGCAGAAAAGAAGGGTCGCTCATTACAGAGAGGGTACTTTATGAGGAGGGGCCCTCCCTTAAGTTTTTCCTAAACTTTTTCTTGTGACCAGATATGATCGTCCCAAGGAGTTTTACATTGGGCGTAAATAAAAGTATAAATCGTGCATTAGTGTACAAAGCCGATCCTGACTTCTAATAGCGGCACAGTTGGTACTCTTAGCATATAAGTAGTAGTGGTATGTGTGTGAAAATCTTTAATTACAATTTCCTTTTTAAACAATTCGGCGAGTGGTATCACTCATCCATTCATTACTGAAAATGGGGGAGGGGTGCTAATCCGTGAGTTTACGGCACGTGAAGGTCGCACCAACAATATCTGTCTCCCTTGAACTCAAAGTAGTTTGAATACACCAGGGATATTATCAGTTTACTCATACTCACAGGAATCGAATAGTTGGGGCGACATCTTTCAAATGTTCGTTGGTAATGGCACGGATATTGTTGAAATAAAAATTCCTACAGAACGATGAAACAGTGAAAAGTGTAGAACGTCAATTGACAAGTTTTAAAGCATAAATTAAAACAACACTGGACAGAAAATTAGCCAAGGATGGAAGGCAATATCTTCCATTTGTTCAAAATGTTCTGCGACGAGAAAAGAACCTCACCGTACATTGGACAGTGCGTCATACAATAATGTCACATAAGTATTTTTTACGAATTTTCATATTACTGAGAAGTTCATCAAATTGACAGTTCAGTTATCAAGAATGAACAAAATATTTCCTATATAAATGAATAAAGGGGTACGTTTCTAAAGAAACTGTGGTGCTGCGTCGGTGGGAGAATATAGCAAGTAATTTAGTGTTAACAACTAAGTTGAAAACGTAAATTAGCCACCGTAAAGGGTAAAAAAGCTGACGTTTCGAGCGTTAGCCCTTCGTCAATAAGGACTAACGCTCAAAACGTCAGCTTTTTTACCCTCTACGGTGGCTAATTTACGCTTTCAACTCAGTTGTTAACACTAAATTACCTGCTATTTCTTATATAAGTCGCAATTGATAATACAGCTCCAGATCCATTTCCATCCGCGTGGCCGATGTCGATTTAAACAACCTCATGTGTATTGTCATGCATACCCTCGAGAGGTTTTCATGGTAGAAGTCTTTGCAAACTCAGTGTTTGAATCTGGAAGGGGATACCTTAGCAGGATCTTGTTTTTGGTGGTTAAAGAGACCTGGTGTCTCTCAAGTTTTGTGTCTGATTTGCCTTTTGGTGGTTCACTCTTCTTCTGGTTGATATGATCTCTTAGTCAGCCTGTTTTCACTTTCACTATCGTAAATATTTCGTCGTCCATCACACATGGTTTTATCCATAAGGTATGATCTGTCCTCGGGGGTAGAAGATTGTCCGTGCCTTTGGTGTGCAGCTTTGTGGGTCTCTTGATCTCCCTGAGCCGAATTCGTCTCAGATAACAGACATTTCTGAGATTCGTACGATTGCATGCTGACTAGACCCTTGCTAATTTTGCGGTACCTCGCTACCGTTATTTAGAAGAAAGTTTAGAATTAGATACTTACATAGACATCATGTTTTTCATGCCCTTAAAAACTTCACGCGGCAGGTGCTTGATATTGTTTTCATAAACAGCCCTAGAACAACATAGAGGGCACATCATTATAATCAAAAATGTAGAAAAATTTAGAGGTAAACACGTATTTACTTTAACTTGCGCTATCTTTATTGATTCTTAAATGCCCTCTCCCTCTGATACTTTCAAAAACTATCCGATTTTTAAAATATGAATAGTAAAAAGGTACAAAAAAACCTCACAGCCAGGAATGCGTAAAAGTTAGACTGATATGCAGTTTGCGGTTACCTTGCTGAAAATGTCAAAACTTAGCGCATACTTATATTTGGACTACTCTAGAGAGCATTGTTTCATTGATCTGTTGAATTTTTAGGAGGATAAGGGATAGAATTACTTCATCTCTAATTCTCTTCTTTTTCAGTCTTTTTCTGGAGAAATCCGGGGTGACAGTTGCTATCTTGGATGACAGAGCATCTTTTTCAGAACTCTGCTAAGGTTTCTGAGCTTTATTCAATCAAAGTACATTGACTTAAAAATTTAGCGAAAAGTTAGACAAAAGTGGTGGGAGGAAGAGAGAAAGGTCTATTCGCCCTACTGACCCTTTGTAAAACTACAAAATTATCGATTACTTGTATTTTTGACAGTCACTCCTTCCTTGTTTTTGCAGTTGTATTTTCTCCAAACCGAATGTAAAAAAAGGAAGTTGAACAATTCGGCTAGCAAATTAATATCAATCAAAAATTGATTAAATATATATTTGGTCAAGAATAGCTACTTGTGCAGTCAGGTATGATTTCTATCGAATGTTTACTTACAGTTCCTCCAGTTTGGACAGGCCTTGGAACTGATCAGGTGACAGGTGTACGAGGCTGTTGTTATCCATGTATCTACACAATAAAATGCACGAGGCGCTCGGTATAATTACAGTATTTGATGGGGGAGTATTTATTGACTGGAATCGTATTTGGCAGCATACAGCTGACTGCGAAACTTACAGATTCTTAAGTAATCTTGACCCAGCTTTATCTTCTAAGGACTTTAAGGATAATTTAGTCCCCAACCCTGTCTCGTATTATAGAAACTGTTGCATCCTTAATTAAAGTCAGAGGGGTTAAACATGCTTGTAATCGAAACCTCCTTCGAAAGTGTATTGGTGCCTTGATATTCGGCAAACTGTTCTACTGCTCATCAGTGTGCTCCAACACTTCTTGAAAAAACATCCCATAATGTATTTGGACCTAAAAGTTGCCGCGTGCATTGTGACAAGAACAATTAATTAAGTTCCATCATGTTACGCCTTCACTGAAAGGACTATGCTAGCCGCCAGGTAAAAAATGGTTCAAACTTGGTAACGCTGATGCAAAATTTAAATGAGTGATCGGACATGCGCTCATTTACTTTTACACTCAAATTAAAGCTCGTATTTCTAATCGCATCACCCGGAATTCTATGCTTTTCATTTAAAAACCCTTTTCTGAAACATTTGGAAAAGCTGCAAGAAAAATGTTAGTTAAAAACTGGAATTTATAGATCCTGTGTTTTCATTTAAAATCCCAAATAAACTCAACATTGACGAAAGCGTTTTGAAAGCCGCTAAAGAATTTAATACATTTTTTAAGAAAAATAACAATTGATCGTTAAAGTTTAATTTGGGTTAATCATTAATCATCAGCGATCTTTCCTAGTGTATGGTCATTGTAAAAGCCCTAAAAGGAGGGTGCTATTTAAGTATTGTACGGGATGTGTTGTGTCATATTTTGTTCCATCACCTTAAACAATTTACTCTTGGTAATTCTTAGTTGATAGCATCTCTCCCCAAAGTGGATGTATATTTTTCACTTTTTACTAAATTAACATCCTTAAATAAATTTCTATGTCATAAGAAGATGCCATAGAAATAGCCCGTACCGGAGCTGATTTTGGCCAACGCTTCTTTTAATTAATTATAATGCTCATTATCAAGACACCTTCTGCGTTACATTACAAATGTGAGTCACTTACAATATTTCTAACTTGGACAGATTTGTGAACCTTGGCAAGCGCTGAAGTTTGTTACTGGAGAGAAAGCTAAAGTAATATATAGAATGAAAAATAAGTCAGTTGAAATAGAATTTGAGATTCTTGGAAAGGTTCTTGTTCTCTCCGAATAGGGAGGACTTTAACTTTATTGAAATAAAACCCAATTGGTTCTGGCAAAGCTATTTTGAGGAATTATAAAATTTTACACATTTTTGCTAAGCACATAAACTGTTTACTCCTGATGCTGAGAATTTAGGTAAAATATACCATTTGCACGTTCATAGTTAACATGGGCGTTTTCATATCATGACATCACTTTTCAGTACTGATGCACCAAACTACGATAGGTCGCTTACATTACAAATCAATCTTAACGGAGTTCCCTGCTTAGTCAGCGAAAAACTTATAGTCACAAGTTACGTGAAAATAAAGGCTGTGTGAGACAATTGAATTTAATATTGACCTCTTTCTTTCAATTGTTCTTGATTACCAAAGCCACCAAAGTTAGCATTATTTAAAGCCAGTTGAGCATATGGAGTTTACTTTCATATGCAACTTGAAATAATCCCAAAATCCAAATTCGCGAAGCTCTGTTTTTAAAAGGTCAAAATGCAAGTTTGCTGTAAGCGCTATGAGAAACTATGCATTATATTTCCCTTTGCTGTGGAGTTTGTACGGAATGTCACTTACAGCCTTTTCATCTGAGTGAGGTTGCCAAAAATATCCATGGGCAGACGCTGAATTTTGTTGTTTGACAAATTCCTTAGAGTATATATCGAGATAAAAGTAAGCTAAATAACAACTAAAGAACTTAAATCCTATTTTAAGAATGGGCTGAGAGTCCGCCCCTTAGGTCTTCTGGTGTGAGCTAAACAAGAGCCAAACGAGCCAACCAGTTGTACACCGCAACGTGTTTTTAGATTTAAATTAGGCGAATGGAGATACCCCGATACCCCTGATCCCACAACAACAATGGCCAGGAATAACCAATATGTAGCAGATTCACCTAGTGAAAAAATAACTCCATGCAGTAAACTGATAGACGTTTCGTTTGAGACAATAATTAATGTAGGCCCACCGTACGCATTCTGAGATCTAAAACCAAATAGCACTACTTATTGCATCAATTCATCTGCCGATTAATTATCTATATTGTACCTGTAACTTTGCCTTTCTTTTCTTTTCTTTTTTTTTTTTACAATTAGTTTTACTTACAGTTCTGTCAGGTTGGTGTTGTTGCTAAGTATCCCTCGAGGCAAAAACTGCAACTGATTGTAGGACAAGTCCCTAGCAATAATATAAGCGGGGAGCGAGGTGAATAAAACAAGTCAAAAGTTGCAGGTAACAAAATTTTTAAAGTAATGGGACAAATGTCCGTAACTATAAACAGATGTTATGCCCACTATTATGGACATCGACTTTACTTGAACCGTATCGGGAAAATGATCTTGATATAAGTTTCGACTTTGACCTTTCCATCGAAAATTACTGTATTTCTCGTCCAACACAATTTATTCAACAACACTTTACTGAATTTTAAATCAGACACGGTTTGATGCACACTCCTGTCTAGTGCCTTCATCAGGGGTGATGTAATCACTGCAACAAGAGGTCCTTTTATATGCTCACTAATTCGCTGCCCTTTTTTCTGACGAGGTGTAAATAGGCCTCAGGTAGTAAGCCGCCATCGTCACGACTGAAACGAGCATGGGCGGAGTTGAGATACGGTTTCCAAACAAAGGCGCTGGTGACGTCGATTAGTGGTAATAGTTTTAGACTCATCCCACCCAATTGTATGGTTAGTTAGGCACGTGTGCTCCGACAAAGCTAAATTTTCTTCGTCAAACTGTGCGAAAAACACCACTGACATACTCGTCTGAGTCTCTTTTTTCAGTTCTAAGCACAATTTGATGTCATCTGCGATTTATTACTAAACAGAACCACGACAACATCTACTCTATTTATTTATGTAAAAGGTGGAGAAGGTGTTGGGAAACAATTCCAATAGATGGTCCTTTTCATGGGGACTTGATGTGTAATTCTCTAGACAACGTTTAAAATTAGAGGCTCACAAATTTTTGTTTAAAATTTGCGAAGATCAGTCAAGTCTCTCTGCCCCTCCTTCCCCCCCCCCCTCTCCCTCACCTCAGCAAGCTCCTCATTCCCTGATATGCCTGTCTCGATTGCGCTCGGCAACTTTTGAGCACCTTTTGGCGTTAGGAGCACACTTTTTGCGGTTCTAGCAACCTTGAGCATTTTGTGCCTTTCTGAGCAATTTTTATGGACAAGATAGGTTGTTACTTACAATTCTTCCAAGGCAGACAATTCAAGAAATATTTCACGTGATAGCTTTTCTAGCTGATTGCCGCTCAACCGCCTACATTGGGAGAATAACAAAATAAAATTTAATTTTAAATTGAGCAAAATGTATTGAATTACAGTTTGTATTGGTAATCACATCATTTACTATTGAACTTTGTTGAAATAAGTGTTTAATTAAATACCAACACATTTTTTAGACCAACAAAAGCCCCTTGGATCACTGCAGTTTTTAGTGTGAAAAATTAATAAGTGATATAATATCGAAGAAAGAAGGAAAAAAGAAGATCAAAATAAGTGAAATTCTGACACCGTTCTGAGGCAAGCATCGGACCATTGCATATTTTTAAATATGCAATGGTCCGATGCTTTCTACCTAAAATGATCTTTGCTCGATAAACCACTTAAAGAGAGCTACCGGCAACCTTTTTCTACCAACTGGTGCAGTAAACAACCGTGGCTGCAAATATATGTTCTTACTCTACAGCCCGCCCTGCCTCGTCTTTCTAAGACCTTCTGTAATCGGAACGAACTCCACGCCTACGTCATTTTTTCATAGTTGAATCATCTATTTTCATTCCATGATGCTCTTAACGGCCACGGGAACCAAAAGACAGCATTAAAAGCTACCACATAGAAGAAATGAGAACGTGTGGAGTTTTAGAACCAAAAGTTTCTGCCTTCTATAGCACCTCTTCTCCTTCTTCGGTAAAACTTGGCGCTTTATACGGACGTCTGCCCATATCGCATTGGCGAAGCTGTTAGTTCTTTTCTCTGTTGAAGAATTGCTGGGAAGAGTGGAACTCTCCAGCTCATGTTATGTACCACTCGTATTCTTGTACATCTAATTACCTGTCCAGTGTGGCTATCATCCCTCTTAGGCTATCTAACTCATATTCCTATCCATTTTTGGTTTTAGAAACTTTCAAGTGATTTGTTTCATTCACTGGCTCTTTTTTCCACGGTTCCATTGTCAATATTTTTTGCGGCTTCAAACCACGTTTTCCACATATTCAGCTACGAAGAAGCTCTCTTAATTAACTGTGACTGGGTTGTTTTACGTGCAAACCCAAGACGTTGTTTTTAAACACGTTGGCCGTTATTTTCTCAGATCTTATTTCTGACTTCTGCGAAAGAAACTTTTCTTTCATTTGTTTTTGTTGGTTTCTCATGTTTTTAAGCCAATCAAAGCCCATTTGTAATTTTAACCTTGTGTTACAAATTTACAAACGAGTTACATGAGAAATGCAAGCTTTTGTAGCTGATCAGAACTGTGTAACAATTCAGAAATTGGCTATGAATTGATCACGGCAGAAGGCATTTTCAGAAAGTGGAGCCAAAGAAGTAAAATCAGTATGTGGTAGACTGGACAATGTTGTCTTTATTGTAGGCTAGGGAAGAGGTTCAGTTTGTCACTTATTGTATTTCATATTTTCTTCATGATTATGTAGTTTAAATGGAAAAGCCTATTTTATTTCCTTTGACTCTGATCAAAAATCGCACTCATCTTGTCGAGAAGTCGGTGTTAACTCATAAACCATTTCCACCTCCATTTCAGGACTACTTCCATAGGGACGATCTTAGAATATAAACCATGGCCACCCTCGGGTTGTTTGGAATTTTTTAGCATGGTAAAGTCGGGTGAAATCAGTTCTTCCTTTTAAAGTTATTTTCTTCGCCTTTAAATCGGTTCTGTGAACCAAGACGACTCAAACAAAACAAAGGTCAGCAATGACCTTCCAGTTAATGACTAACTCCTGATCGGAGATTGCAATTGACATTAAAGCCGACAGGTGAATATGCCACCAAGATAATCGGGTGGTGTAAGTGGACTAACTGAAGCGAGCTTTCCATACTGAAATGTTGGTCATTTCTTTAGTTCAGATTTTATTCATAGATGTATGAGCGGAAATTTTTCCGCCGATTAGTTAATAAGCAATCTAGTATCACTCACAGATATTTTAGTTTATCTTGCCCCGCAAACAAGTTTTCAGGTAACTCTTTGATGTTGTTGTTTCCCAGCCACCTGTAAAATGCGCAATTCTTTTCTTAGCTTCAGTCTGTCATGCCATGTAATTGGTTCTGTCGCTGAGGGTAAGCATAGAAATCTACCTACAGTATACTTTCAACAAGGACAATTCTAAGTATGACTGAATGACTTATATCGGTAATCATGAAATTGATGATCCCAGTGTTTTGAGGGCGTTCAGCTATCGATTAATTTTTAACCGACGAGAATTAGTGTTTGGGGGGGAAGGGGGTGGAGAGATGGGGGGGGGATGTGTTTCAAGCCCCCGTTTTTAAACATTTGTTCTAGAAGATTTATACCAGCACTTTTAATTTTTCAAGTTCAGTTTGTTAGTGGGAATTCAATTTCATTTTCAAACAAACGCTATAAAACCTTTTTGGGAAAATGGGAAATCAATCCAACTCAGCGGAAGTCAACTTTCTAAAGCTTCAAGACCCATCACTTACAGATCTATTATCTTGAAACGCTGGAATATATCAGAAGGAAGAGTCTTCAGTTTGTTGAAGTCCAGGGTTCTGTGTAAAAAGATATCGACATAAGGAGAGCAACAGATACGTTGGAATCTTAAGACGACACAACATTTCGGATTTTGAAGGACATGCTTCAACAGTTTGTCTGTCATCTTAAGTTTAATTTTCTTTATTTTTGAATGGTTTTACTTTTTCACTTTTTCACTGTTATACTTTAAGATGATTGAACTGAGAAAAAAAACTGTCGAAACATATATTTCAGAATCATAATTGTTATGACTTTTTTTAAAATGCAATGTGTCTTCTGACAATGTGGATGACCTCTAAAACTTTTTGAAATCAGTTTTGAACCTACAGAGGACGCAATAACATTAACAAAATGCTCGAATATATGTGGCTGTTAACGGCTCGTCTTTGTGGTTTAATTGGCTGTTTCAAGTCCGAACTGCAAGAGGTGCATGTGTTCTTGAATGTCCCTCTAACCAGTACAGAGCAAACGTAGCAGACGGGGCCTAAATGCACCTGTAATGTCTTACTACAGAGAAATGTTTTCAGAAGGAGGTAAGTAAATGATTTCCTGTAACCAGAAATATAAATAAAAGGATCTGTGTGGCATATCGTGACTAAGTTTTAGTTCTTACGAAGGGACCCCTGAGAGTTTCACCTCTCATATAAATTTGCGTTCATGAAAGTCGAAAGTACAAATCTTTTGAGGGTTTACGGTTAATTCTTTGGCCATTGAATGTTTGACCTTTGACTTCAATGAGCGGCTACAACTCGAGCTTCTAAGACCTCGGGCTCAACTGAGTGACTTTTAAGAACAACGGTGAAAAAATGAGTCAATGTATTATTGTTTTATTGACGTGAAGGGGGCGAAAAGAAACCACTGGAAACTCATTATTTTGCTCTCTAATAAGCGCGAAATTTGAGTTTACAATCTTAATTTGAATTTTACCTAAATTACAACTATATTGACGAGAATCGGATTTCTGAAAATAAGAACGAATTAAATTGATTTGAAATTATTAGTTTTGGGTGCAACATTGTTGCCCGATGACTTAACCAACATTAGGAAGAAAAACATGGCTCGAGAAGTAAACATTCAAAAAAGCAATTCAAAAGGATAATACTCGATTTATCTGGAAAATGTTGGTAAGAACTTATTCATTTTCTTAAATTTTCATCCTTTAAAAAAAAACAGTTTACACTTGCTTGACCTTGAGCATGCCTCGCCAAATAAAAAAAATATAAGATTATCAAATAAGGGATGTTTCTTATAGTGCTAGTGTAAATTTTCTCTACAGTTTAATATTCAGTGGTTTTAATTTTCAGCCCCCGTCTTGTAAAAGGTTGTGTTGCTAAATGCAGTAAGGATCTTCAGCTTACTCATCTAAAGTAGAATGAAAATCCAAAAGCGCTTAATTGACAGAGTGGTTTGGTATTATCAACTGTGTTTATTAACTCATTTGATAACTTCAAATTACCCTGTTATACTCTCCCACCGACGCAGCACCACAGTTTCTTTAGAAACTTACCCACTTAACTTAACTTACAGGTTTTCAAATATGGGCCAATGCTGACGTTTAGGTAGTTGATCAGAGGACAAATACTTTAAGTTGTTGTTGTTCAGGTATCTGCATCGTCAACAAAGAAACAGTATTAGTGGAACATTAACGGCCTAATTTGGTTTCTTCTGCTTTTATTGATAAAGACTTAAAACACAGACTGAAACATTTGCAGACCCCTCGTTGAATGTTAAAATATGAATAATTGAGTCATTATGATGAGAGATTTTCGGTAACTGAGTCGAGCACAGACTGATTGGCTTCTTGCATTCTCCTGGCGGATGGAGTTTATATGGATTATATGAAAATAACAAGAGAAAAAAGAGAAAAAACTAACTTCTGAATAAAAAAAAACTACACGTCTTTTGGTGCTCCTTTTTTTTTTTAAAGAGATTAAAACCTACTGCGACAGGAGCCCATTACTTGGGCTCCTGACTGCGAGACATTACTGCGAAAATCACTCTCATCTTCAGACGATAAACCGTATATAATTCTTAAGAAAACCTCTTTAGGAAAAAAGTTTTGATATTTTAAGCAATATCTGGCACAAACAATGCCTACTGCGGGTCTAAATTAAAGTTTCCTTTTCTCCAAGTACTTTTACCGCATGGTATGACGTCAATGATACTATGGGGTTTTTCAGTACGGAAGGAAAATTCACTTACTCGATTCTGATCTGTTTGACAATTAATTTATACGATAAAACTTAGATTAAAAGCGTTATCCCCTGCCTGCCCAACTAGATTTGCTTCTGTCCCCATAGTTGTGCTATTGTCTTCTGTTCAAATATCTGGGGGGTGGTACAATGGCCGAAATTTTTGCCAGAGTACATGGAGTAATTAAAATAATTCAAAATGGCGTTTGTCGTCGGGCCATACTTAAGTTTTTTTATAAAATATTGCGAAACAAATTTTTGCCGCCAAAAATCGCGTTAGCACTCAATGCCCGCTCACTAAACTCAGATTTGAGGGAGGGAGAAACACAAGATGTAGTCGAGTGTTCCTCCCCACTAGTTCATAAATACATGCAATTTTTTTCACATGAAAATTACAAAACAAACTGCTTATGGTGTGTGTTTTATGAATACACGACATCCGAATTCACAGGAGCATGAAGATTGCCAGGTATGACAGCGCCGTAAAACCCGCCTTCTGTGACCGATGTGGCCTTCCACTCGACGCATTGGAAAGGATATCAAGGTAAGTTCTTGGTTTTTCACTCGAGGGGCGGCCGATGTAATTTCCGAGGCTTTCCTCACTGCGATGACCGGATA